ATTTTTTTTTTCCCTCATAAGATTTTAGGATTTTTTGTTCTTTTTTGAAAGATGTTTACCTTACCATCATTTTGAAAATAATCATTAGTGTATTACTTCGTCTTTTCTTCTTTTTAAGATTATTTCCAAATATATTATTTTTTTTAGTTGGGTTTAACAATAAAAAAAACGGCTTTTTGTAGCGATTCAGAAAACCGGAAAAATCAGTTATCCGGAATAGTGATGGTCCTGATCGTTCCAAATAATCGGTTCTCTAGTTTAATATATATATATATATTTATATTTAATACTTGCATGTAATATTTTAGTCATCTACTGAGGAATAACAATCACACTAAACTGAGAACATGAGTCACTAAAGTATCCTTTGTCACATTTAACAGGAAATAGCTACCTGACCCCAGTAATGAAAATAAGACAATTATACTTGGAAAAAAATTCAGAGTGAAAGTTCAAACATAAAATTATCAGTTGAGAACAACTTTTCAGTTTGTTAAACTTGTACATGAAAAATCTTCTCTAGTAAAAATTTTCTTTGAAAAATCTTCTCATTCGTAAAATTATCTGCAATTTTAGGTTTAATTCCGAATACTGTTACACATATTTACTTTGTCAGGATTATTCTCTACCGGTTAAATTTTTATAAGTATCTTTTTTTAGAGAGGGGGAGACATTAATAAATTTTTTAAGTGTTTTTAAATTTTAAAGTTATTTTTAAATAAATAAATTTCTTTTTTTAAAAAAAAACAGACCAAAACACTTTAAATGCTTATTTTCTCATAATTTTCAGTTTAAAATTATAGAAAAAAACATTCAAGCGATTTATCAATTAATCATTTCTTGTTAACTTGTACAGGGATTGCCTTTTAGCATGCCTTTAATTATTTTTATGAACTACAAATTTGTCTCATATATAAATAGTTTTGAGAGGGTAATTTATAAATTGTTGAGGATAAAATTCAGTTATTGCATAAAATACATAGTTATTACAAAATTTGTACATTTGATAAATATTTACAATGTTGAATGAGCGCCCTTTTAAACCTCAAAGTGAACTTTTCAGAGAGGAAGTGCCCTGTCCTTCTTCATTCTTACTGAAAACACTGTATATATATATCTAAACTGGATTTTTATTTTATTTCTTAAATAGCAAATGGTAATGTTACCAATATCTTTTAAGTAGAAAAGTCAACAAAAATTTTATACAACAGTTAACATAGTTTTCCAAATAAAATAAAAACTGCCTAAAACATATTCCTAATAAAAAAATTAACAACAATTTTTTAAAGAAAATTTTAAAAAACTTATCAGGTCAAGTTAGAAACTAAGTTTTTAATTTAAAAATCAATTGTAAAAAAGATTTTTAAAAAAAATGTAAAATAACAAACAATAAAATTAAAATTGCAAAAACACAGGCAGTGAAATAGTAAACTTAAAATAACATTTCATAATCAGAACACAACAAAATATATATTAGCTGCTCATAAGTTCTAAAGTAAGTCCTTCCTCATCTTTAGTCCTGATACTGATCAGCAATAAATTAACAATTATCACATAAACACGTGTCAAAAATTTAAAAATATTTTTTTTTGTATTTCCTAAATGGTTAATACTGGAGAAAGCAAATAAATATTTTATAAACCTAAACAACATAAAAAGAGAACAAATTATGCTTCACATTTAGTCAAATAATTTTATAATGAAACTAAAACTATACCATGTATATTTATGTACTCTTTAAACGTTGTTTAGATTTATACATATACAGCACAAAGTTAATCTTTTCTTTACTTGGAAAATGTTATCAATTTACAATTCTTCAAAAATTTCAAATTAAATCAGATATATCAAGAGTTTGAGATTCTGAGTTAGTAAATTGTGGAAAGGGAAATAGATCATGAGTCTGAGTCTCAATATTAACACTTAATCGTTCCTTCTCAGCACAAGCATCAATCATGTTTTGAACATAGTTATCATTAAAAAATGCGTAAGGATCTGGATTCAGCTCAGCATCAGCCAATGAAAAATCAGTCTGAATCTCTATTGAATATTGATCAGGAGGACTCTTATCAAGATCAGGAAAATCATCCCAGGGAGTTTGAGTTTCAGTATCAGAAAACTCCAACAAATCATACAAAGCAAAATCATCAGTAGTTTGTGTTTCCATGTTAGCTAGCAGGCTAAAATCTAATTCAGTGTTAGAAATGGTTTGAGTATGAATGTCAGACAAAACAGGATGATCGGTTGCAACTGGCTTGGTGCAGTTAGAAAATATATCGAAAATTGGACAATTTTTATTTTCTAAAGTACTCTCAGAAGACATATGTGTAAAATTATTTCTCATTTTTGTCAGTTTATCATCTTTAGTAATGGTATCTGTAGAAAATAAATCAAACTCAGGTAGAGGAACACAAAAATTGCTATCTTGCAATGCAACAAGAGAATCCTGGGGCATATCATTGTTTATAATAAAGGGTTGCTTGCACTGCTGCAGCGATGAAAGAGGATCTGCAGGCACCTGATTGGACAATTCAAAGGGCTGCTTGCAAATATCACTCTCATAATCCTTTTTAATTGTTTCAGCCCAATCAAACAATTCTTTATCGGTAATAGTTTGCGAATCACACAAAACTTTACTCGCATAGTAGTTGGTTTGTGTGCTCATCGTGTTTCTAAACAATGAAGTTTCTGGGTTTTGCAATATCAAATCTTTAAAATTGGGCCACACAGATTGTCCAGCGCCTTGGTTTTCGGTAAATAGACAAGGTTCAGTTGTTATTGCCACAGACTTTCTTCTAGATCTTTTACGTTTGATTTTCACCACAGCACTCTCAGCAGTCTGAGTGTGAGTGCTTTCATTCCGCACTGCAGATGATGTTTTTGATTTCCTACGGCTGCACTGAGATGCCCTTGATTCCAGAGTTTTAGACAAACATTCCATTTCATTACAGGTTTGTGTAGCAATAGATACTTGCATTTGTCTAACATTACTTTCTCCTGTGTCAGAAGGAAGTTCTGTTTCACTGAATGTTTGAGTTGCAACTGCTTTCATAGTTGAACTAACAGTGTTAACGGGCTGCAAATTAATAATATGAGAGCTACACTTTTGTGAATTAAGATCAGTGTCATTTGAAATAGATATTTCTGAAGGAAGTAGTGTAGATTCATACTTGGTGCAAGGAGGAAAATAAGACACATTTTCCTCATTATGCATGTGATTTTCTACAGTTGAGGTCGTAAAAAAGCGTGATTCAGAAACTTTTGGAAAAATAGGACGAGGATGAAGAGCAGAACGTTCACATTTAATACCTTGAGCAATGGCTACGGGTTGGAAAAGTAGTATAACAGGATTTTCCATCGATTCATTAAAGGGTTTTGTTTGTTTCCTGGAAAAAGTAAGAACAAAATAAAATAAATTTCTGCATACTCATTTTCTAAAGAAATCATAATACTAGCATAAAATTTCTATAATTGAAAAGCTTTTTATTAAATAATCAGGTAGTTTTTTATTTATAGTAATTATGAGCTCAAAATTGATGTTTGGAAATAAAAATGTGACAGTATAAAATTGTGATATAAAAACAATATTTAGGATACAATAATTATACATATGTATCATTATAATATTGCACAAATATAGAAAATTCAAGGTTGAAAATAAATGTGAATATTTATAAATTGTAAGAAATGAGTAGGCTTAAAAATAGCCAACTCTTTCTTTTATTTGAATATAGAGCAAAATATTGAGCAATTTCCTATCAATACTAATGTTAAAATTTAACCTATAAATTGGACATTTTGAGAATTTTTTTGTTAATTCGAAATGTGGGAAAATAAAAAGTTAATGGATATGGACAAATATTAGTTATAATACCAGGTATAATATATACTGCTATAAGCCATAAATAACAAACGACTATATCAATAAATAAATAAAAATGGGTTAATAGTATTCACCAGGTTTTTTCCACAGTTTCTACCAGTAAAAATCCAACCCTAATAAAAGGTGCTTTTTTTTTCATTCGCTCTCTGCTTTAGGAATGGTTTGTAAGGAAGCTCATGTTAAATATTGTGAAATGTAAATTTTGTTAGGAACTTGTTTCTAATTGAGTGATGACATTTTAAAAAAAATTGTTTTTCTTTGGCTTTTATGTGCCGCATAGGTTTTATTTTTAAGTCTTTTGAAAATGTTTAATCCAATTTTTGCATCATCATCTAAAAAAAAAGTGAGAGTTTATCCATCAAAAAATAAAGTTGAGATTTTTAAAAATTAAGATGAAGGTTTGTCCATAAAATTGCTTAGTGAGTTTTACAATAGTGGTTTATCTACGATTTATGACATTAAAAATCAAAAGAAAGATTTACTTAAGTTTTTTTCGAGGTGAGAGTAACTAGATGAAACGAGCTCACACAAAATCTTGCATCAATCTAAAAATGACGTATGTAAAAATGCTAATAGAGTGGATAAGGCAGAAGAGATCTGAACTGTTCCCATTAAGTTGGCAAATAATAATGGCTCAGGCCAAAAACTTCTACCACGTTTTTGGAATAGAGAAAAACTGTGAATATACCATTGGATGGTTTGCCCATTTCAAACAATGTCATGGACTTCGTTTCACAAAACTTAGTGGAGAAAAGGCTACTGCGAATGCAGAAGTGGCAGAAAATTATGTTGAAACAGTTTTGAACCTCGTTCAAACTCAAAATTGAACTATGCATCGATTTTTTAATACTGACGAGACTGGACTTTATTTAAAATATCTTTCCGCTACAGTCTATACTTCAGGGGAAACAAACCTCACCTGTTTATAAGTTGACAAAAACTTGCGCCAATGCCACTATGCAAATTAAAACTTATCGTGATTGAAAAGACTAAGAATCCTTGTTGTCTAAAAGAGGCTCAAGTGTTTCCAGTTTGTTACAAGGCTAACAAAAAAGCGTGCACAACACACAAACTATTTACTGACTAGTTTGGAAATGAATTTGTCCCAAAATCTCGGCACACGGGTCACCCAATGATTGTAAAATTGTTTTATTTTTTAACTATTGCACGGCACATCTCCTCGCAGCTGTGCTAAAAGTAAATAATGTCGACATTGAATTCCTGCAACAAAATTATACATCACTCATTCAGATTTTGAATCAAGGCGCTTTATAAGTGCCACTTTAAAGTTGATTTAATGAAAAAATGATTGATTCAGCTAATGAGGAGAAATCAAAACAAGATTTCCAGAAATCATTTAATGTAAAGGAAGCGATATGGCTAGCTACAAAGGCCTAAAACTCAGTGACACACTATACCTTAATACATGGTGCAAGTTAATAACCACATCGAGCTTTTTAAAGATGATTTAGATGAATTACCTTTTGAATGTTTTAAACTTTTTCATGAGAAAGCCCCTATAGAAAGAATTTTTAGAGTACATTAAAGAGTGGATATTAAAAGGTATTTTCATGGAGTCTGATATTGATGAATGTTTCAACACTGACAACAATGAATTGTCAGGCGCTGAGATGATTAAGATGGTTTTGAATCCCGACTCTGACAACTTAGAAGAAAGCAACGAAGAACTTGAAATCCAAGAAGTCCATCCTTTTATTTCAAACGAACGATGTATTAAGTTGATCAAACAACTGATTAAGGAGATCGTGCAAAGACCCTTTGTTGACGAATCTCACATTATGTCAGTTTATAAGATTCAGTAGTTGTTTATGCGACAAATGCTAAATTTTCATGAACTGAAAATGGATCAGTTTTTTTAAAGATAAATGTTGACATATATTTTTTCATTTTACCTTTTTTGTTCATTTTATATTAAGCCTGTATATATTTTTTTATTTCAATAAAAGTTTTTTTTCTTTTTATCTCATTAAATTTATGTATATTACTTTAAAAGTTGGTTTTTAAAGTTGGTTTTTATAAACAATAAAAAAGGTCTTTTGTAGAGATTCAGAAAACCGGAAAAATCTGTTATCCGGAATGGGGATGGTCCCAATTGTTCTGGATAATTGGTTCACTATAGAATTATATGAGTAGAAGGTCATTAAAATTTAAGATTTTAAGGAAAGCTTATTTTTCATAAATTTTGTATTTAATATGATTATACATTATATTTGTTTTTTTTTTAATTCTATGATTATTTTTTGAATTTAAATAATTTAATTTTAATCATTTAAAAATTATCTTTGAATTATTATTTTCCTTTTTTTAAATTGAATTCAAATTAAAAAAAAGTCTAGTGTATCACAGTTGTGCTTAATTTATTACTATGCTCCAGTAAACTCTTAATTTTTTAATAACCAGTCATAACCAGAACTCCTAATTTTTTTATTAGATTTAATGCAAAATCAAAATTTTAAAAAATACAGCAGGTTGAAATGCAAGGTAACTAATGACTTCATGGAAGCATAACTTCCTCCCAAAGTATAAAATTTCATGTATATTTAAAAAAATCATAATCAAAGTTTTTTAAAAAGTTGCCATAAGCATCACTGTCATTATTTCAAATTTTTAGATTTCATAGAAGTTTGCCGAAAATATAGATAAAATCTGCCACTATTTTCTTTTTAATAAGAGCTTTTCTACAAACATGAAATTCAGTATACCACTTAAGAAATTTTTTTCGACTTATGTTTCCAAAATAATAAAAAGAGAGGGGGAAAAAACCTCTTTAAAACTAGCTATTCAAGTAACGAACATCATTTTTAAAACTTACTGCCTAAATTTTGTGGGAATGTGGACGGGCAATTTCTTAAAATTTCTGCGACGATTTTTGTTTGTTTATATGTATGTATGCAGGTATGAATATATGTATGCAGGTATGTATATATGCATGTATGCATAAAATCAACCCTCTCATGACCAAACTATGGGAATCATAAATTCCTAGATTGCAGTTACCCTCTATAAATTGGATGTCAGAAATCTGAATCCGCTAAAAAAAGGGTATGTTTATTCAGAAAAAGTATTTTTTGTGTCTGATTTCATAACTTAAAATATCATCTGCATAAATTAATTAGCATATTCGAGCTCACCCACTTGAACCTTTAAGATTGAGTCCTAGAACGTGAAGATCCAATCATTAGATCAAAAATAATTCAGGGTCGTCTGTTTGTTTTTTGGCTCACTGTACATATATATATATATATGTTAGAAGTGTTATAAAAATAATGACTATTTGAAGTGGAAAAATAAATTAATAGTAATGCTTTCTAAAAAAAAATCTAAGTTAAAGAAAGAAAACACCTAAAAAAAAATAGGAAAAAAGTGTAAAACATAAGAAATACAACATTTGTTTTTATGCTAGACTTACGATTTGTTAATAGGTACAATATGATCAGGAAGATTGTGACCACTTCTGCGAGCATGAGTGAGAAGGGATTCTCGTGAGGTATATTTAGATCCACAATCACATAGCCACTCCATACCACATGTTTTTTCATGATGTTTGCGCCACCAATCTAAGCCAAAACCTTTCCCACATTTTTCACAGATAAATTTTTTTTCAGCATGGACTTTAGCAATATGCTAAAAGAAGAAATAATAAAATGTATAAAGTTGCAAGGATCTCAAACCATTATAAAGTAATGTATCACAATATAATGATAAAAAGAAACAAAATAAAGAGTGTTGCGTAATGTTTTACAAGAAATTGAGGATACAAACAAAATAATGATTGTGAATACTTTAAATAGTATTTTAAACATAAGCTTTGCAAAATTTAAAGCTCTTTATAAGCTATAGAATTTTTTTTTTTACCTTAACGTGGCTCACATAAAATGTTTACTAAATTTTAATTTTTATCTGTGACAAATACAAAAATTTCAATTTTTATCTATTAACTATGAACTTTTTGTTTAAAAAAAAAGTAGGAAATATTATTCTATTTAGATGCAAATCACTATTTTAGTAAAAGTAGAAACTGATGAAGAATTCAAAACACCATTTATAACAGGAGTCACCAACTTTTTAGCATAAGAATGATACTGATTGCTCCATTAAGCTCCAAACCAGCAAAGACATTATTTAGAACAGGGGTTAAATTAACAGTGGTTTGTTGGTCTAGGACTACTAAAAATAGGTTATAACCACTATAAAATTAATTATCAGTGTTCTCCCAGGACCTGCAATTGAAGTAAATGGATGGTAAGCTGTTTCGGTTTCTTGGTTTAATTTCCCATTTTGATTATTGCTTTTGTTACAAAATAGCATATTTTAACATAATTGTGAACATTACACATTCTCTATATTGCAATTTTTTACTGAAGTTCATTTTAATAACTTTTAAAAAAAATCTAACAGAGACTCAAAAGTAGAAAAGTGAAAATAGGTACGAACTAGTAATATATTTTACTAGCTGATCTTTTCGACCAAATTTTCTCAATTTCCATTCCAGTAAAAGATAAAGGTCACTTCCCCCTCACATTTAAAAATTTAGAAAATTTTTTCGTTTTCCACAATTTGAGGAAGACGGTTACAAAAATGCTACAATAAATTTTAATCTTCTTACCTCCCCATTTATAAGACATTTATACTCATTTTCCAACTAGCTAGCACATCATACCAACAAAAGAAATTTTGGAATGTGCACAAATTGAAAGCTAGTTAACAAGTAAGATATGTTTGGAGTGGATTACATTTGCAGGTTAAGACAAATTTAATATTAATTTTAATTTAAATGTTCATTTTAATTATGCCTACCAATTCTTGTAGTTTTTTTTTATTATTATTGTATAAGATTTACTCTAGTTGTAAACTTTAAAACATAATTTTTAAGAAAAACTGCAGCAGTGATGACAGAATAGTGAGGTAAGGGGGCCAGTTTTGGTCTGCAGGTTATAATTTGAAAACCTCTGCTTTATAGTAAAACAGGTTATTGATAGAACAGTATATAATAAAAATTATCCTTATAATTTGCACTTTAGCTAAAACATATTTTATACAAAAACAATGTTTTTTTATAAAATATTATGTTTTTGTACATCATATGTAAAACCTAATAATAATTTGGCAATTTAAAACTTGTTAATAAGAAAGAATTATGAAAGACTAAATTGTTGATACAATTCAATGAAAAATTATTGATATATAAGATTGATTTTTGTATACTTAAGTTAAAGATATATATCATAAAAAGGTATGTAATATCCATATTATATCATTTACTCAGTACAAATAGAATCATTATTAATATTTGGAAATATATATATATATAACTGAAAATACCCTAAAATCAAATTTTAAAAGAATGGATAGAATATAGATGACACTAAAATAATCATGCAATAAATGCTAAGGCACTTACTGCAATAGTTTCATGTATCTACACAGTTAATGCGTCTATAAATGAAACACTTAAAAAAAAATTTTTTTTGGCTTTGTTTTCCATAAAAAAATATATATATATTATATTAATATATGGTGTTAGATAAAAATTGCTACAGCAACACTAAGAGGAATTACAACTTATAACAAGCATGCTTCAAAAAACTAAGATTTTCAGGACTTTCTGTTGAGCATTCTAAATGAGCCTATTTATTTGAATAAAAAAAATCTCTTATATAAATTACAAATTCACCTATGTATTAAAATTGGGAGAGAGAACATCTCCATCAGGCCTTGGATGCTTACTTTCAATCTCAAAGCAAATTGTTTTTATTGACAAAAGATATAAAAATATTCTTAAATATTATAAATATTTACCTGGTTCAAAAACTTTTTTCCAGAAAAACTTTTCTCAGAACCATTATACAAACAACCAGAAAAGGGGCAGTGATATTCACCCTTCATCTTCTTAGGTTTTACTCTCTAGTTAAATATAAACAAAGAGTTTGAGAAAGATACATGTGACGATTTTATTAAAATAGCTTCAACAGGTTTATTTATTATAGCTAATCAACATTATAAAGATGTGTTAAGGAGAAGCCCAAGGAATAAAATTCTGTACAAAGCAATTTATTAAAGTCGGTCCAAGGACAGCATGTCAAACCGTTTTTCTAACTCTGAATGATTAACCGGATAAAGCTATGTACAAGTAGCACTAAGGGTAAATATTATTCATAAAACTTCCAGGTCACTACTTCTGATTTATTTTTACATCTAAGTTTGAAAAAGAGCCAACCAATATTAATATACTTATAGTGTTAATACCATAACACATTCTTTCCTTTTAATTTTAACTGTTTCTTTTAGCAGAAAATAAATTTGAAGAATGCCACAAGCATGCTATCATACTANCCCCCCCCCCCAAAAAAAAAAATTGCAAAAAGCAATATTTTTTACAAATATAGCCAAATAGGACTAACATTATAAATATGGCTAACCTAACACTTTATTGTAACTTGTGATAATAGTTTTCTAAAATTTATTTAAGGTTCACCACCTTTTAGAATTTATAAATTACAGAAAAATCTTATGAACGGTAAATTTATGCATAAATTTAAAAGCAAATCACAAGAATTTATATTCCCAGAATATCAAGCTTATTCAAGCTCATTCTCATAAATGTAACAGAGGTGGAATAATACATCGGAAGTTTTCTATATTTCTTCCAGATTTAGGAAGCTTGTTACTGTTTACATTCAGTCATCGAGCCATAGTTCATCAGTACATGAATTAAGAAAAATGTACAAATGAAACCCCAAAAATATATAATTATAAACTCAATTTAATTAATAATGTTGTAGTTCAAAAAATTACTAATTTCATTAGAAAATTATAAAATACATTAAAAAAAGAAATCCCCAATGAAACTTTTTCAATAAAATTATACTGCATGATGAATTCAAAATGATATTTAATTATGATAATTAATTAAAAATTCTAAATCTTGAAGAAAAAAAAACTCAACAAGGACAAAAACTTTAATATGAAGGGAAAAAAACTAAGTGATATGAACATAAGTTTTAAACAAAATAATTTTTTTAAATATTCACTCACCTCAAGAGGCATTTTTAAATTTCTCTCAGGGCATACATAGTTAATGCTATTTAAGAAATAAAAACAGAAAAATATCAGCACATGATTCAATCAAATCAATATAAATAAAAATATTTTAAAAGAGAGAGAGTATGCTTATGAACTAATTGAACTTAAACTTTAGCGACTGATTTTAAAGAAATTCAGTTTCACAAATGATCAATTTACTCTTTTACTACATATATTATTTTTAGCCTACCAGAACGAAACGAAGAGCAAACAGACATTACTATACAGTGCATAAACAAAAAATGGCACACCTTGAATAACTTTTGATCTAATGCTCAGATCTTCACACATGAAAACTCAATCTTAAAATAAATTAGTACAGACTTCATTTTAAGTTGCAAAATAAGACACAAAAATATGCTCTCTCTGAATAAACATACCATTTGAGAAGTTCTTGTGGAATTTACCTTTTAATGTAATGACTTTTTAAAAATTTCATAACTTAGAAACTACAAACCAATGATGCTAACATCGGTGTTTCAAGACTCTTTAAAATGATTAATGACACTTTTTAAAATGATTTAAAATCTTCTATACCTTAAAATTCAACTATTGTTAAACAAATATATATATACACACACATATATATATATATTAAAAATATTTTTTGCATGGAATTACCTTAAGACAAACAAATTAGCGTAAAGTCTTCGGAATTGGCAAAGTGCACAAAAAAAGTCAAATTAATATTAAGGGTTACAAGCCTTTAACCATTCTACAAAACAAATTATTGAGACCATATTTTCAAAATGGCATCTATCCTAATATTTTGTAGGGTCAGGAATCCAAATCCCTTGAAAAAATGGTAGTTTTGTTCAGAGAAAGAATTTTCCCATGTCTTATTTTGTAACTACCTAATATCATCAACACTAATTAACATATTTAGGGTGCAGCCTTCAAACCATTAAGATTTAATCTTAGTATGTGAAAATCTGATTGACAGATCAAAAGTTATCCAGGATATTCCATTATTTATTTTTTTGCACACAATACATTTTTAAATATAATTTACACCTCGTTTAAATCACAGCAATCATGGTTATTCCAGGAGATTTCCGTATCATGATCAGCGACAGAAAAATTGCTTAAACTTCTGGGTAGTGGCCCGCGAGAAACTAAAAAAATCATCACAGAAAGGGACCAACTTGAAAGATATAATTTATAGCCATGCTTAGGCAAGCATCTACATATCATTTTTGAAGAAAAAAAAATTTTGCAAGTTTTAAAATATATTTGGCAATTGCAGTTGGTGTGACAGATCACAATATGTAATATCCATGTCAATTCCACAATTTTTAAAATAGATTATTTAACTATTAACATACATGAATCAGGGGTCTGTCTAGGTTTTTCTGAGAGGTACCTATTTTGTGAAAATTTAGACACAATTTGTGAAAATTTAGGCATAGATAATTCATGAAAATTAAAAATTATATTAAAAAATCAGCATAAAAATATTGATTTATCATTTTACAAAAATTTTTTTTAAGAAAAAGTACTTTGTGAAACTACCGTTTTTCCTAAGTGTTTCAATGAGTTATCATACCGGGGATATTATCATACCTATGTATAAACTTCAATAAATATTGTTTTCCTAAAATAATAACAATATAGTAATTTTAAAATTTAAGCAGAAATAGAATAACGTTTTAATTGATTTACTTTGATAAGTTGCAATTTCCTATAACATCACAAAATAGCCCTGCAACCATACTTTTCTTCTGGGCGAAGCAATCATATTTCTTTTCTGAGCGAAGCAATCAATTATTATACATTATTTAAAATTGAAAAGTGTACTTGTAAGAACATAAAACTAGGTGAGAAACGAATAACATGCAATTAAGTTATAAATAAGATATTTACTTCTTATTATTAATTTGCTTCTTCCTTCAACAAACTATTTCACCTCGAAAAAAAAAAAGATTTATATCTTGACTAGTGTATAAGAGTTTGTGACACAGGTAAACTTTTGTTAAAACAAAAAGTGTGAAAAATATTAACAAATTACATCATAAAATATCCGGATATTCAATATAAGATAAACAAGGAACATAAATGTAACAAAATTCTTCAAGGCAAATTATTATAATTACCGCTTGTGTTTTTGAATTTCATAACAAATAAATCTTACTGCTTAAAACTCATACAACAACTTTATCCCATCTCCATCAATTATCGTCTGCAAAATTATCAACTGTTGCCAAATCAAATTGAAGATAACTGATATTTTCTGCTGCTTGCTTGCCTCAATTTTAAGGACCAGTCTTAGTGTATGTAATTCACGCACAACACAGCAATCACTTGCAGAGCGTCATCAAGCGAAAATGCAAACCTGATTGGTTGTGTACTTTCCAGCAACTCACCAATTAGGTTAGATGGGAGATTCTACATAGTTATGGAGAAGGCCGGTTCCATGTCTTAATCCTCCCCCCATCTCTCTCATTTACTCTGTTGTATGGGGATGCCCTGCGATAGTTTCGCTACCCCTATTCTTTTCGGTATGTGATTGCCGAAAATATTTTCCAAAATTTCCACGAAGCTTTATTTTAGTTGTTGTAGTTCATTTACGTCGTATTAGAGCTACACAATGGGCTATTGGCGACGGTCTGGGAAATATCCCTGAGAATGATCCGAAGACATGCCATCACAATTTTAATCCTCTGCAGAGGGGACGGCACCCCCACTTCGGTAGCCCGACGACCTGCACGCGAAGTCGAGCATTTTACGGTAGAACAGTTTAAAGAGGAGAGGACCACTACCGCACACCCTCGGTCCCTACGCAGACTGATCCAAGTGGTCACCCACCCGCACACTTACCGCAGCCAGTGACGCTTGACTTCGGTGATCTGCTTTGAACTGCGTCTTCACGATCAGTCCACACATGTGGACTGATCGTTAAGACTATATAGTTTCTAGTTTAAAAGTTTCTCATCTATATGAAAAATCAAGATAGAAACTAACGTACTTCCTTCTTTGTACGCCCATGGCCTACCCATTTCAACCCTTCGCTTAAGCGAAGGGTTGAAATGGGTAGGGAGTTCTACTCTAGACCACATGTAGACTATTTCACGAACTTCTACATTTTACAAGTGATAAACAAATGCAGAATATCATATGATATATCAAAACTACTAATTTTGAAAAAAAGGTTTGTTAGAATCTATGGTTAGAGTATACATTAACATTTTCCATTACTATAAAGATGTTCAGGCTCTTGGATCATAAAATTTTCTGTGGACGTTTTTTATCTGAGTTTTAGCATAGTGAATTTTTGTTTTTCGTTATATATTGGAACTATATTTTTGTAGTGATAGATGCACTACAGTACTCCTCCACCAAAATTATATTTGTGATAAAATTCGATGAACGGACACCACTAGTTGATTCTTTGCTGTTTCGTGAGAAGCCAGGAGAGCTGTATTAGCATCATCGTACTTTTTGAGTGATGATCGTGAGAGCTGTATGAAGTAAATTGTCGTGGTCGCTTTTAGCAGTCGAGTGTATACGTTGTACGTCGTGTGTGATCGAGACTAAAAAGCGACAGCGTGAGGAGGACAATGTTGCAGTACAAGTAGCTAATAGCTTATCAGTAAAGCTCTGGAGCAAATTTCACTCATCATTATAATTGGTACAACAGCCCGTGGAGGGATTTGGTGGCCTTCCCTAGAAAATTTCTTCTCGAAACCAGGTCTTGCTAGTTAAATTCAACAAATGTTTTGAAAATAGTTTTAATGGAGATCAGTAATCGAAGTTATGTAGTTCCTCTAGTTTTACTAGTTTGCGGATTTCAAGTGTCTGTGTGTGGTTAGTTGTATACAAAATAAACTCAATCGTTTCTACATCTATAGCAAGATGTAGAAACGATTTTTAAAACTTTATCCACAGTCAAAAATTTATATCTAGCAGTGAGTCTTACCTGCTTAACATTACGTGCTCTTACATATAAAAAAATTTGAATATGTTAAGATGAAAAAACAATAAAAGAAAAAAGAGAGTCGATTTCACTAACTAGAATGCTTTCAAAAGTAATTTTATCCTTTGAGATTGTTGCATTCCATTGTNCTAGTCAAATATAAACAAAGAGTTTGAGAAATAAGCATGTGACAATTTTATTAAAATAGCTTCAACAGGTTTATTTATTATAGCTAATCAACATTATAAGGATTTATTAAGGAGAAGCCCAAGGAATAAAATTTTGTACAAAGCAATTTATTTAAATCGGTCCAAGGACAGCAAGTCAAACCGTTTTTCTAACTCTGAATGATTAACCGGATAAAGCTAAGTACAAGTAGCACTAAGGGTAAATATTATTCGTAAAACTTCCAGGTCACTACTTTATTTTTACATCTAAGTTTGAAAAAGAGCCAACCAATATTAATATACTTATAGTGTTAATACCATAACACATTCTTTCCTTTTAATTTTAACTGTTTCTTTTAACAGAAAATAAATTTGAACAATACCACAAGCATGCCAAAAAAAAAAAATTTGCAAAAAGCAAAATTTTTCACAAATATAGCTAAATAGAAGCTAACATTATAAATATGGCTAACCTAACACTTTATTGCAACTTGTGATAATAGTTTTCCAAAATTTATTTAAGGTTCACCACCATTTAGAATTTATAAATTACAGAGAAATCTTATGAACGGTAAATTTATGCATAAATTTAAATGCAAATCACTAGAATAAATCTTCCCAGAATATCAAGCCTATTTACATGTCGCTTCATAAACGTAACAAAGGCGGAATGATACATCGGAAGTTTTCTATATTTCTTCCACATTTAGGAAGCTTGATAATTGTTTACACTCAGTCATCGATCCATAATTCATCAATACACATATTAAGAAAAAAGCACAAATGAAACCCCAAAAATATATAATTATAAACTCAATTTAAATAATAATATTGTACTTCAAAAGATTACTAATTTTATTAGAAAACTATAAAATACATTGATAAATAAAAAAATCCCCTATAATATTTTTTCAATAAAATTACACTGCATGATGAATTTAAAAAACATAATGATAATTAATTAAAAATTCTAAATCTTGAAGAAAAAAAAAACTTAATAAGGACAAAAACTTTAATATGAAGGAAAAAAAATTAAGTGATATGAACATAAGTTTTAAACAAAATAATTTTTTAAAATATTCACTCACCTCAAAAGGCATTTTTAAATTTCTCTCAGGGCATACATAGTAAATGCTATTCAAGAAATAAAATCAGAAAAATATCAGCACATGATTCAATCAAATCAATATAAATAAAAATACCTTAAAAGAGAGAGAGAAAGAGTATGCTTATGAACTAATTGAACTTAACCTTTAGTGACTGATTTAAAAGAAATTCAGTTTCACAAATGATCAGTTTACTCTTTTACTACATATATTTTATTTTTAGCCTACCAGTACGAAACCAAGTGCAAACAGACATTTCTATACAGTACATAAACAAAAAATGGCACACCTTGAATAACTTTTCATCTAAAGCTCAGATCTTCACACATGAAAACTCAATCTTAAAATAAATTAGTACAGACTTTATTTTAAGTTGCAAAATAAGACGCAAAAATATACTTTCTCTGAATTAACATACCATTTGAAAAGTTCTTATGGAATTTACCTTTTAATGCAATGACTTTTTAAAAATTTCATAACTTAGAAACTACAGACCAATGACGCTAACATTTTGCATTTCGGTATTTCAAGACTCTTTAAAATGCTTTAAAAATTTCTATACCTTAAAATTCAAAATTTTTTTCAACTATTGTTAAACAGATATATATATATATATATATATATATATATATACATTAAAAATATTTTTGCGTGGAATTACCTTAAGATAAAGAATTTAGCTTAAAGCCTTCGAAATTGGCAAAGTGCACAAAAAAAGTCAAATTAATATTAAGGGTTACAAGCTTTTAACCATTCTACAAAACAAACTATTGAGACCATATTTTCAAAATGGCAGCTATCCTAATATTTTGTAGGATCAGGAATCCAAATCCCTTGAAAAAATGGTAGTTTTCTTCTGAGAAAGAATTTTTCCATGTCTTATTTTGTAACCACCTAACATCATCAGCACTAATTAACACATTTAAGGCGCAGCCTTCAAACCATTAAGATTGAATCTTAGTATGTGAAAATCTAATTGACAGATCGGAAGTTATTCAGGATATTCCATTATTTATTTATTTTTTTGTGCACAATACATTTTTAAATATAATTTACACCTTGTTTAAATCACAGCCATCACGGTTATTCCAGGAGATTTCCGTATCATGATCTGCAGCAGAAAAATTGCTTTAACTTCTGGGCAGTGGCCTAAACTAAAAAAATCATCACAGAAAGGGACCAACTTGAAAGATATAATTTATAGCCACCCTTAGGCAAACATCTACATATCTTTTTTGAAAAAAAAAAATATGCAAGTTTTAAAATATATTTGGCTCTTTGGCAATTGAAGTTGGTGTGACAGATGACTTTAGGTAATATCCAAGTCAATTCAGCAATCTTTAAAATAGATTATTTAACTTTTAGCATATATGAATAAACTACACAGAAATAAAATTGACACATGTTTTTTTAGTTTTAATGAGCTATCATACCTATGTAAAAACTTCAATATATATTGTTTTCCTAATATAATAAGAATTACAGTAATTTTAAACTTTAAGCAGAAACAGAATAATGTGTTAATTGATTTCTTTTGGTAAGTTGCAATTTTCTATAACATCACAAAATAGCCCTGCAATAATATTTTTTTTCTGGGCGAAGCAATCATGTTTCTTTTCTGGGCAAAGCAATCAATTATTATACATTATTTAAAATTTGCTTGTAAGAGCATAAAACTAGGTGAGAAACGAATAATATGCAATTAAGTTATAAATAAGATATTCTTATTATTAATTTGCTTCTTCCTTCAACAAACTATTTCACCTCGAAAAAAAAAAGATTTATATTTTGACTAGTGTATAAAGAGTGTGTGACACAGGTAAACTTTAGTTAAAACAAAAAGTGTTAAAAATATTAACGAATTACATCATAAAATATCCGGATATACAATATAAGACAAACAAGGAACATAAATGTAACAAAATTCTTCAAGGCAAATTATTATAATTACCGCTTGTTTTTTTGAATTTCATAACAAATAAATCTTACAGCTTAAGCATCAACTTTATCCCATCTCCATCAATTATCGTCTGCAAATTTATCAACTGTTGCCAAATCAAATATGACTGATATTTTCTGCTGCTTGCCTCAATTTTAAAGACCATTCTTAGTGCATGTAATTCACGCATAGCACAGCAATCATCGCACCTGATTGGTAGTATATTTTCCAGCAACTCACTAATCAGGTTACGGCAATCGGAGCTGAGGAGGTAACGAGAGATAACCATAAGATAGTTTCTAAATAGTTATGGAGAAAGCCGGTTCCATGTCTTAATCCTCCCCCAATCTCTCTCATTTACTCTGTTGTATGGGGATGCACTGCGATAGTTTCCCTACCCCTATTCTTTTCGGTTATATAAGAAGTTCATTTACGTCGCACTAGAGCTGCACAATGGGCTATTGGCAACGATCTGGGAAACAACCCTGAGGATCATCCGAAGACATGCCATCACAATTTTGATCCTCTGCAGACGGGATGGAACCCCCGCGAACTGCACGCAAAGTCGAGCACTTTCCGGTAGAACAGTTTAACGAGGACCAATACCTCACACCCTCGGTCCCTACGCAGACTGATCCAAGTGGTCAACCTCTCGCACGCTGACCGCAGCCAGTGATGCTTGACTTCGGTGATCAGTTGGGAACCGCGTCTTAACGATCAGTCCACTGCGGGACAGCTTTATTTTAGAACTACGTTTAAAGCAGTTTTCAGTTCCATATAGTTTCCTAGTCTAACAGTTTCTAATCTATATGAAAAATCAAGATAGAAACTAACGTACTTCCTTCTTTGTACGCCCATGTGGTGAAAGCAGGCGAATTGTTGAAATAGGTAGGGAGTTCTACTCTAAACCATTTCCATCGCCAATGATTTTCGCAAAAAAATAATCAATTAATCACGAACTTCATTTTACAAGTGATAAACAAATGCAGAATGTCATATGATATTCTGCATTTGTTTATCACTTGTAAAATAAAGTTCGTCATTATTAGATTATATTTATATCAAAACTACTAATTTTGAAAAAAAAAAAAAAAAAGCTTTGTTAGACTCTATGGTTAGAATATACATTAATATTTTCCATTACTATAAAGATGTTCAGGTTCTCGAATAATAAAATTTTCTGTGGGCGTTTCTTATCTGAGTTTGACCATGGTGAATTTTTGTTAGTATTCGCTGTAAGACAAAATTATCTGAAAAGTACTCCTCCCTCCACATAGAATAGAGTTAAAATGTCCAATATACTAGTGAATTGGAATTACATTTTTGTAGTGGTAGATGCACTACAGAACTCCCCCACCAAAATTATATTTGAGATAGGATTCGATGAACGGATACCACTAGTTGATTCATTGCTGCTTTGTGAGAAGCCAGGAGAGCTATATTAGAATCACCGTACTTTTTGAGTGCTGTTCGTGAGAGTTGTATTAAGTAAACTGTCGTGGTCGCTTTTAGCAGACGAGTGTATACGTTGTACGTAGTGTGCGAGGAGGACAATGTTGCAGTCACAAGTAGTAAATAGCTTATCAGTAAAGCTCTAGAGCAAATTTAACTCAGCATCATAATTGGTACAACAGCCCGTGGAGGGCTTTGGCCTTCCCTAGAAAATTTCTTCTCGAAACCAGGTCTTGCTAGGTCAATTCAACAAATGTTTTGAAAATAGTTATAATGGAGTTCAGTAATCAAGTTTTGTACTTCCTCTAGGTTTACTACCAATTGGTTTGCGGATTTCAAGTGTGGCTAGTTGTATGCAAAATTAACTCTATAGCCAGATGTAGAAACGATTTTTAAAACTTGACTCACAGCCAAAAATTTATATCTAGCAGTGAGTCTTACCTGCTCATTATGTGCTCTTACATATAAAAAAGTTTGAATACGTTAAGATGCAGAAACAATAAAAAAAAGAGTCAAATTTCACAAACTAGAATGCTTTCAAAAGTAATTTTATCCTTTGAGATTGTTGCATTCCATTGTTTTTCCCCTTAGTTTTATATATTAAAATATTTATTTCTTAGTATAGTTTGTATATTCTTTTATAAATATTTTTATTTGATTTTTTATCTTTTCCTTTACGATAAGCAAACTCATCATCAGTGTATGGATTAGAGACAAGGTCATAGTGAAAAATAGACATTTATTAGTAATAATAATTTAATTAATTATGATATATTAATAGGAAGTGTGAACCATTGACTGGTTTGCATTTGACCAGTATTTCCTACGCTGATGTTTTATAAAATTATTTTATCATGAAATTATCTTTGAAACAATGTGTTTCATAAACAACTGCAAAGACATGGTAAATTACACAAAAAGTTAAATTAACATTAAAGAAAGCAAATTTTCATCTGCTCTTACGACAAAATTAGTGAGCCCGAAACCTTCAAGATTTGGGCTTCAAACTCCACTTCATCCCCGATATTATGTAGGTCAAAAACTTAAATCAATGAAAGAGTTGTATTCTCACTCTGAGAAAAAACGCTCACGTATCAGAACTAAAAAAATCATTGTCTACACAGACTATTAGCAAATTTAAGAATAGAGCTTTGAACCATTAAGAGGTCTCTTTATTTGTCTAGTACAATATTTGATTTTTGTTTTCTGGGTGTTTTTTTCCCAAGAAAATGTTAATGAGAGTATCATTTGACAACATTATACACTCTAAAAGACGAATAATAATAGAGACACTAATTTATCAGAATAGCAAATTCATAATTTTAGAACTTCTACAGATTTTTGTCACAAAAATGTAGGGCAACTAAATTATGCGGTTAATAATTCAGAGAAAGTAATATTGCCTATTTTAAGATTCTCTTAAATATTGTTTTAATTTCTGAAAACCTAATTTTCGGCTTAAATATTATTTTAACACTTGTGAAGCAAAAAGAAAGATATTCATCAAAAATTTAAAAACAGACAATATAAGCTATTTTTAAAAAAATGTCTTATGATAAATTGTATTGATACTTAGTGCTAAAAAATCTATTGAATTTCTACAATAAATTAAGCTATATTTTCCTCATTCTCATTATTTTAGTTTTTGTATTATTAAAATAGAAATATTTTGTTTTTGTTAAAATTAATTTAATAATAGTTATTTTTATTTAATAATCATTATATTTGAAATTTTTAAGTCTTACAACTATTTACAACATTGGATAAATGTACTAACAAATTTGCTAAAAAAAAAAAAAAAAACTGTGAAATTGTTTTTGAAGGATCTGCGAAACTTTTATAGAAGAATGTTTTCTTTTATAAAGTAATAAGACAATTTTTTTCCTTGTTTTATTATTTTATATGTACATATAAAAATATATATAAAAGTATAATTATAACATATATATAACACATATATATATATAAAAATAAAAACATAAAGAATAGATTTTTTTTTTCAGCATTGAAAAAACAAAACAAAAACATATTGGGCATTTAATCTGTTTTTTACCAGCCACTCTGCTCTTTTGCTTGCTTCTGGTACCAGCATTTCATTGCCACTATATTGTTCTACTGGTTTTTTAATCAGCACGAGTTCAGTATTTGTAGCATAATGTAATCTTTCATTCATATAATTAGTTAAAAAGAAAATTTCCAAAATTGAAAACAAATAATAAAAAAAATAACAACTCTAATTTGAAAAATCTAATTTCAAACATCAGATGAATCTGTTACAGCATTAGAACCATAAATTGTTTGGTAAATTTGTCACTATATTTATTTAAATAAAATACTTTAATTAGTTTATTTAACAAAGCTACACACAAGTAAAGTAATTTGATAAAAAATTGGTTATTTTGTTTTTATCCAAGATTACAACCAAAAAGTAACAAAATTCAAAAAATTGTTAATCCTGCTGAAAATAACAAAGAAAAATTGTAAATATCAGAATTGACACAATTTTATACTCCATTGCATATTAAGAAAAGACCATTGCAGTATAGGATTTAAGTAATCATCTGCGACTGAATATAGTTCTGTTTCAATTTGTTATCAAATTATACAAATATGCTTCCATGCTAAAACATGAAAACTTTTGAGTTAAACGCGTCAGGCAGAAGTTTAATTTGTGCTATCTTTTAGGATATAAATCAGAGAAATATTAAAAAAAGGCTACAGTTTTATGGCTTTACTGGAATTCAATACTTGGCAACTTGTTTTGATAAAGGAAAACATTAATTCTTAAAAAGAAACAACTATATCATGTTGTAACAGCGTTGGATTCAATTAGACTACTAAAAATAGGAGATTTCTGTAGTGTGATCTGTAGCAGAATAATTGCCAAGTCTTGGTAATTTCCGAACAATGATCCATGAGAAACTAAAAAAAAAAAAAAACATCCTGAAAAGGGACCAACTCCTAGTCACCCCCAGGCAAACATCAACATGTTTTTTATGAAAAAAAGATTTCTGTTTAAATAACTGCATCAAATGCAAAAACTGCTGACATAACTTGTTTAAATCATCAATTACATAAATTTTGAAAACAGGAAATTATATCTGTTTAATAATTTAATATTATATCCATAAGAAACTGGAAAAGTTTTGAAAAATGATAACCTAAAAATAATTAAAAATTTTACAAAATGTTGGATTAAAAAAAATTCATTTTAAAAGTTGTCAATCAAATGGATCAATTGAGTTAAGTAAAATCAAATCTCTATGCAACTTTTTAATTTTAGCTCTACCAAGATAATTTTGATTAAAACCCCGTCCCATACTACGACAGGAAGTCAAGTTCAAGGATGTAAGCTTATTACAATTTTCTAATATAATACACACTGTCTTTTCATTTATTCTTGTGTTACTTACATCTAAATATTCTAATTCAACCATTCTATCTTCTAAAACAAGTGAACTTAAAACTTGGTTAATGGAGTCTGAACTTGTTCTTGAAACATCAAGAGTACGAAGGCTTTTGACCCGTGTAGTCAATATATCCCTCAACCTTAAAGTTAAGTGAAGTTGAGTTCCAGATAAATATAAATTTTCTAACTGGGTGGCAGGCAGAGATAATACACCATAAATAGAGATAGATTTACAACCTCTTATATCTAAAGTTTTTAAACTTTGGGAATCAAATAAAATATTGTTTAAATCTTTGTCTGTGAAACTACCTTCTGCATTATTTGGAAGAGAAAATGTTTCCAGATGAGGAAAACCTGAAAGGGATTTTATCTGATGTTGGGAAAAAGTAACAGGAAAACTTAACCGTAGATCTTTTATCTTCCTACAGTTTTTCTGAACAACATCAATAGGAAATGTAGATTTTCCAGCATGTTTGATGTTTTCAATAAAGAGTTTTTCAAGATTATGGCAACAATCTGCAATTAAAACTAACAGTTTGGTAAATGATGCAATTTCGGAATGTGATAAGTCAATAACTATCATATTCTGACCCCGGATTGTCAGAAAATCATTTAACATTTCAGGAGAAATTTTATACATTTGAAATATCATGTCATGTCGCTTTTTAATGTTGTAACCTAATTTCTGAAGTTCGAAACTGTAATCTTCTTGAGAAAATTTTATTTCACGCAACATTTTACAATGTATTGCAACGTATGTAATAGTTGATTCATCCAAATGACGCACTTTTGAGAAATCAATTCTCTTTAAGTTTGGCAGGTATTGAAAAATGGTTAATGCTTCTGCAGAGAATTTCTTTTTGGATAAACTATATACGAGTTCTTCTGTTTTCGACAAATAACCACTTTTACAAAGTTGATATAAATAATCTTCTGACAACGAACCATCAAATTTTCGCCAAAAGATGTAGTCTTTACAAATGCTATTCCATTCCTCACAAACTTTAGAGATGCATAAATAAAAATTACTTTGCTTTTCAGTAGCAATATAATAAGCAAAAATTTTATCCATTATTTCTTTAGGAAAATCTATAATATTTACCATTTTCGATCACTTTGAATAATCTAATGATATAACGAAATTCGTTTATACAAACCTAACATAGAAAATGGTCAAGTAAAGAAATCCTGCAAGAGTATCATAATTTTGAAATATTTCAACTCAAATTTTATAAATTTGACTCAACTTAATTTTATAAATTGAATATATTCAATGTATTATTAGGTGAGAAGAAGATGATGATGATGATTGTTGGCGTTCTGTTTTGGAGCTTTATGCAGTTTTCAGCTTATAGCTCGCTTATGTCCAGGGTGGCGAGATAAGTGGGTGATTATAGTATGCGGATAGATTTTAGGTAATGCATAAAGTAGTGTAGCTTGCGTTTGTCTGTTGCTTGGCCACCAAAATATAGAGGCCCGCTCTTTCCCGTTCTAGCCTACAGTAAGTGTGGAAACAAAAATATAGTGCACCTCCAGCCTCCCTCCGCGAGGGTAATAATTCAAAGCTGTCAAATTGAAAACCCGTTTCACTGTCTCCCCTACNTGGTGGAAGAGATTTAGTTCTGATCCTGGCAATTAGTACATCATGATTTCGAGAGCTGATTAAATGGACTATGATCTTGAGATCCATCAAGGTGAGGGAAGGAAATGAAGTATTTGCAACCCTACCCTTCCATACACAGAGTTCTTTATTGAGCTTTTCGCTAAGGAAGGCTTGGCTAAGATCTTGAGGTAATGAAAGATGTGAAATGACATTTTGGTATAACGTTTGTTTAGCAAGCTGGTCTGCTTTTTCATTTTCTTTTATTCTTGCTTGAGATGAAGCCCAGATAAATGAGGGAGAGCTCACTGTCTGACTTGTTTTGGCAACTTAGTCAAGAAGAAGAAGAGAGATTCGCGGAGATTTTCGGGTGCCTTTTGGCAGAGACAGAAGGATCAAACGGCTGTCCATTAGACAAATACAGTGGTCGTTGCTTGTAACGCAATGTTTGAAGGCTAAGAAAATGGCTAATCCATCGGCTGTAAAGACCAATGCATGAGGAGAAAGATGATCCGAGATAGTGTACCCTTTGGAGGTATATTCCACACCAATTTTGTCTGATTGTTTGGATCCATCGGTGGCCAGAACAATACAGTTTGAGAGATTTTGATGGCAAAACTTCTTCAATCAGAGCTCGAACTTGTAGAGGGAGTAAATTTTTGTTTTTGAATGGTAAACTAGGTAAATTGAAACATTTGATGTGATTTGAGTTGACAGGTGATATTTAATAACTTTATCATGAAAGATAATTTTCTTGGTCATCCATGCATAAATAGTCGTTTTACCTTGTGGAAAGCTGGGTGGAGGGAGAGATAGGTGATGGAAAGCTAGGGAAGATGATTGTAGGAAGATGTGTCAAAAGTAGAATCTTGAAATCTTGAGAGGGAGTGGAATGGAATGATCATCGAGACAAACCAGTTGCCATATGAAGTGCAGCATTGTATGCATGGTGTTTTCAATATAAATGTAAGCAACAACAATCTCGAGCTCAATACCTGGTCTAGTTCCGGTCAGAAAGTTTGCAACTGCTTACTACAGCTTATTTTGCGAGGCGATATTTTTAAACGGATAATTTTGTTTTCAATAAAAGAAGTAAATTAAATAATTTATGAGCTCAAATATGCTGTATTTCATTACATATTAATGTTATTAGCTAATTCTGGTGAGTTTGAAGTTAAAATTTGTTTTAGATATTTATTGTTGTTGCAGTTCATGTACGTTGCACTAGAACTGCACAATGAACTATTGGCGACGGTCTGAGAAACATCCCTGAGGATGATCCGAAGACATGCCATCAAAATTTTGATCCTCTGCAGAGGGGAGACAATCCCCGCTTTGGTAGACCGACGACCTGCACTCAAAGTCGAACGCTTTACGGTAGAACAGTTTAACGAGGACCAATACCGCACACTCTCAGTCCCTACGCAGACTAATCCAAGTGGTCACCCACCCACACACTGACCGCAGCCAGTGATGCTTGACTTCGGTGATCTGCTGGGAACCGTATCTTAACGATCAGTTCACTGCGGGATTTAGATATTTATAGACAGATTGCTAAAAAAGGTGACATGGTTGATAGATTTTGAATAACTCGCTTTTTTGGCAGTCCTGATTTGACCTCTTTCCTTTTGTTTATTACTGTTTGTTCTTGTTGAAAGCTGTGCACTATCTTACGTTAGTGTTAGCACCTCTAGCATCGAAACACAAGTATTGTTAGCAGTATAAACACAAGTAATAAGTAATCAAATACCAAGTTTGCAGGAATCTCCAAACACAATGATCACGTTGCGAGCCAAATGGCTTTAAAATACACCGGAAACAGTAACCCGGAAGTGTAGGCGGTATGGAGCTTGCAGTGTTCTCTAGTGTAGAAAGCATCATCCATAGTACGCTGAAGGTTCTGAGACCGGTTTGGCTAGAGAAGGAAACTAATGCGACTTCCAAAGTCAAGGACACTCGAGTCAGAATCCTGATAGAAGAGTTGACAATTCTGAGCAAGTGATCTGATTGAGTACCCCAACGTGTGCTTGATATGCAATGAAACGCAGAGAGTTTCTTTGAGATTTTCTATTTTAACACTCTGAAGAGATAGTGAAAAGTCATGTAGCTAGAGAAATGTAGACCGACTATTCGAAGATTTTTTACCCAGAGGATGGGTTTGTTAAAAATGTTGAAACTAGAATTATCGGCCGTCAGTCTTCTAGAGAAGTTAATGGTGGTACTTTCCCCTTGAACAATTTCAAGATTCCAAGAACAATTTCGAGAATTGCATCTTGCATATCACTTCTTAACTGGATTCTTGTTGTTGTTCATTCACGTCGCACTAGAACTACACAATGGGCTATTGGTGATGGTCTGGGAAACATCCCTGAGGATGATCCGAAGACATGCTATCACAATTTTGATTCTCTGCAGAGGGGATGGCACCCCCGCTTAGACAGCCCGACGACCTGCACGCGAAGTCGAGCACTTTACGGTAGAACAGTTTAACGAGGAACAATACCGCACACTCTCGGTCCCTACGCAGACTGATACAAGTGGTCACCCATCCGCACACTGACTGCAGCCAAGGCATAATATATCACCAGGGAGACCCAGATGTAGGTCAGATATGTAAATAATGAAGAGGAAAGGAGAAAGAACTGACCCCAGTAGAAGATCTCTTCTTATTGGAAAATTGGCTGTTTGCGAATTCCGCCATCATACGGTAATATTTTTGAGTTTGTAAAAATTGTGTAAGAAGAGGCCTGCTGTGCCTGTGATGCCGAATTTTAAGAGTTTGAGGATTAGGCTTCCTGCTTGAAATTGTCGCAAGATTGTCAAGTGAGCAGCAGACTACGTATTTCTTTTCATGTCGAGCTCGAAGGACTTCGTTATGAAGGATGGTGAGAACTGAATCTACTTCTTTAAATGAAAGGAATCCGTAATGGAAAGAGTGAAAAACAGTCTTTAGGGAGAAATCAGTGAGGCGTTCGAGAGTTTTGTTCAGAGTGGATGTAAGCGATATTGGGCTATAAAAGGACACCAGATCAGTAGGTTTTCTTTCTTCGTGGATTGGAATGACGTTGGCCAGTTTCTAGGACTCTGGGATTTGCCCAGAAGTCTAGATAGAGCTTAACTCATCTAGAAGTTTCTGCAGATCTGCTTTTGAGAAAGAGCGCAATACTTTTAGGGGAAATTTTATCTGCCCTAGTGATTTGTATAAGGAGGACGAGAGAGCATGATGATGTTCCTGTAAAGTGAAGACTTGATTGAATTCTTGATCTGCTGCACTGAAGTCCAGGAGGAGCCAGTTTTTGGTTGGTGATTTAGAGAAGAAGGCTACAATCGAGTTTGCTAGTGCTAAGGCACTATGAAGTTCAATGCTCTTCATTGTGATATTGCTTCAAGGTGCATTAAGGAGCTTAGGGTGATTTAATATTGAGAGCAGTATTTTATAGATGGATTTAGATTGATAAACGCTGATGCAGACTTTATTGCAGAATTTCTTACCGGCTGAGTGGATTGTCTTCTGCAACTCTGCTGCAGTCTTTCTATACATTTTCCACAAATCTGGATTTTGAGTATGGCGTGCCATTCTAGAGTATTTGCGATTACACCTAATAGAAAAAAAAAACACTGGCAGTTCGAAGAATGTGGAAAGCGTGGGTTAAGAGCCGGTTTAATTGAGCTGTGTTTCTTTAGTTTTTTCTGATACATTAGTTGAAAATTTTGCGAAAAGTTATTTTCTGCAAGGATAGTTTTTTCTAAGTCTGAGATTAAGTTGTTCCAATGGACTTGAATTTGTTTAATTAAGGGATGATTGTTGTTGGCGATAGCCTCAGTGATATTTACTGGAGTGTGGTCACTTTCAAATGTATTAGAGGATACAACTTAGTACGTTTTGGAAAAAAGTCAGTAGATGTGATGATAAGATCAAAAAGTGGCATCCTGGTTTAAAACATGTTGGGAGTTTTGTATTTAGTAGAGAGTATCGTGCTTCAAGAAGCCACGCGAGAAACCTTTTTGCATCTTTCGGCGATGACTGGACTTCTAAAGCAGCGTGGTGTAGGTTGAAGTTCCCCAGTTAATTAGCGATCGGCTAAGGGATTGTAACCAGTCGACTGAAAATTGGTCCTTAGGGGAGTAGAGGTTCATAAGCGAGAAAGTGTTGTCTGAGGTGGTAATCTTAACGACTAGATCTCCGTTAACGGATGGTGGTAGGTTGGATATGGATATAACTTTCGTTGATAAATCCTGGATAACTGCAACTAGTTCGCCCTGGTGGCCATTAGTTCCTTTTTGTCGAAATATTGTTTTGGTGGGAACATGAAAATTGTCTTTTTTAGTTAAAAATGTTTCTCGAAGAGCTATCTTGAAGAATGTATTATTTTTTACTTGCTTTTTTATGAATAATAGGCATTGTTTAAATTTCGTGAGCATTTCTTAAAGAAAAATAGCTTGAACAGCTTCTCGTATAGATGATTGACCGAGTAAAGCTGAAATGAGATGTCGGTGGTGCTAGGGGCTAAAATTCGCCCTGACGGGTTTTTACTTCAGATTGATTTTCACGTGTAAGTTTGGAAAAGCACGCTATGGAATATTAGTCGCTCTTTCAAATTAACATTTAACAAAACAAATGAATTCAGAAAACTCCATTAGCTACCCAATCATGCTACCCCCCCTCAAAAAAAAGATAAAACAGGCTATATTTTTCACGATTGTAACCAAATAAGGGATAACACTCAAAACGTAGAAACCTTACATTTCATTTATATAGTGATATAAATTTTTTTTAAAATTTATTTTTGGCTGACAGCCTGTTAAAATTTATGAACTACAGAAAACTTTTAAGACATGTAAAATTTTGCTTAAATTTGAACGAAAATTACAATAATGAAACTTTTTAGAATATTAAGCTTGTTCACACATTGCCTTGTAAGCATACATAAGCGGTGGGATACATCGAAAGTTTTTAAAATTCTTGCCGGCTTTAGAAAGCTTGTTATGGATGGTTGACTGAATGGATGTTGCTTAGCTACCGCACTTTGTAATTAAATACACCTATTTGATTGGCTGTTGCCATCAACGTTTTCATCGTTATTGCTGAATCGTTGCTTCTAGTTTATAACATCTGGCATTTCTATCCTGTGTTGGCGGACAAAAAAATTCCCTAATTTGTTTTTTTTCAGGGTTCCTGAATATCTTGTTTGACAATGGGGAGGGGGGGGGAAGAGAATGAGAATGATACTCAGGGGGAAGGTTTTTAAAGATTTATATCGTAGTGTCATTACGAGAAATTTTCTGTCGATTCGTTTCTTCGTTTTATTTTTTAAAGTTAAATTTGTTTATGCACAATTATTCAGATTAATTTATGAGTATTCCCATCTAATATTTAATTTTGGGCATCATTATTTTCCTAGTAAAATTAAATGATAAGTATTAAGAATTCTTTTCTTTCTTCTCAATATATGACTATCATACGCTTTAAAATTTAAATTGCAAGTTTAAAACTGCTTGACAAAAGTTTTGAAAGTTAATTTAATTAATCGCTATCCCCAAAAAAAGTGTTATTAACAAAGGCGTCGTGAACTTATTTTTTTAGAAAGGGGGAATTTCTCTTTTGCCGAATGAAATTTCAAATTTGATTGAATCATAAATAACTATGCAATTCATAAAAATATTTAATAAAAAACTTTAATAAAAAAATATTTTGTGGCCGACACATTCACTATATGTTAAATTTTTCCAGTAATGTGTTATTGAATTAATGACATTATAATTAATCATTCTTATCAATGAGCTATGATTGGTCTGTAATTAAGGCACTTAACTGTTATGAAGAACTGAAGTCCAATCTGCGATAGCCGTTTAAAGCCCGTTCAGCTTGTCTAGAAAGTAAAGACGGTCCGCGCCCAGTGTTGAGTTAGAGTCTCACAATTCAATAAAATTTAAGAAATTAACGAAATGTCCATTCTAGTGTTTTTTTTATACATACACTGGAAATTGAACGTTTCAAACTGAATAAAACTATTTCAAAAATATACTATAAATTATTTCAGACATATATGGGTATATTTTTCTGAAAATATGACGCCAATATTTTAATATGAATTCAGTTTTTAAAAAAACCAGGTAATCAAAAAAATTTAACAAATTCACAAATGATCCATTTTAATGATACTTTTATATATAAACTGGAAATTGTGTGATTCGGACCAAAAAAAAGTTATTTTTTTGAAAATTTTTTTAAAAGTATTTTTAGAAATATATAAGAATTTTCAGATAATATGACGCCCTTTTTTTATTATAAAACTAGTTTTAGAAGAAACCCGTTATTCAAAAATATTCAAAAAATTCTCACCGGATCCATTTTAATGTTTTTTTTTGTTGATATATACACAAGAAACTGTGTCTCTCGTAATAAAAAATCCATTAAAAAATATTCTTGAAAGATCTTTAAGCATATACGGGTATTTTCCGTGAATATGACACAAATATTTTAATATGAAGCCAATTCCCGCAATTCAAAAAAATTTCTAACATCTACGAAATTTCCATTTTAGTGTTACAGTGGAAATTGCGTGTTTCGTGATAAATAAAACTTTTTTCAAAAATATCTTTAAAGTGATTTTAGACTCATATAGGTATTTTCCAAGACTATGACGTGCATATTTCAATATGAAATTTGTTTTAAAATAATCTCGCTTTTCAAAACAATTTTAAAAAATTCACAAACTGTCCATTACAGTACGAATTTGATATATATACTTTAATCTGAGGCTATTATAATAAATAAAAAAATTTAAAAAATATTTTTAAGTATTTTTAGAGATATTTTGGTATTATCAGACAATATGACACCGATATTTAATGAGAAACCAGTTTTAAAAAAATTCTGCTATGCAGAAAAATTTTAAAAATTCACAAAACGTTCATTTTTGTTACTTTATATTCCCTGGAAATGGCGTTTTTCGGACAAAATAGAACTACTTCAAGTACTTTTTAGAAACAAATCTTTGGTATATCTTACGTAATATTAACGGAGTAGATTTTACCTACTACGTTCTGGTAAGATTGCTTTCGTTTATTTTACGAAATATTGATGAAGGAATAATTACTATTTAGATTTCGGTTTTTTTTGGTTCGAATTTATTTACGCAAATTTTCAGTTTTTTCGATAACCACTTTGTTTTATAATTTGACGTTTCAACTTGCGTACATTTTGACGTAAATGATATGTAAAAATAACGTACTTATTTTTACCTAGTAAGAATGGTTAGTAAAATATTCTTAAAATAAACGAATTTGTTTAAGTAAAATTTTCCGTTTTTGAATAATAATTTTTGCTATAATTCAAAGTTTCAGTTTTAAGTAAATTTTACAAATACTTAGTAAAATTTAAAGGTGAAAGATACGTATTTTTAACGTAAAATTGATGGTTTTCTGTTAACTGGAATATGAGTTAATTATATTTATATAATTTTTTTTTATTGCACTCACTTCGAATTAAAGTTTTCATACCTTATGGACAAGTTTTGTCAAACTCGTTGCAAGAATAAGATTTATTTTTAATCTAAACAAAAAATGTTTATTTGTTTGGACTAGGAATATGCATATGTATTAAAGTGGGTATATTATTTCGGAATTGGCGACGAAGAGGTTAACTGTGCCTGAGAAAATGAATTTGATAAAATTTAAAAAATATCGCTTAATCAAAACTGTAAAGATCAGTCTCTTGAAAAACACTTTATTAATAAAAAGGATTTTCTTTACAAATTTTCTTAAGATCTTCCAATGTCAAGCTGTATTGATCTTCAGTTATCCTAAAAGTGCGAAAGTGTTTCATTGAAATTATATCACTGAAAATATGTCACTGCTTCAATACAAATAACATTAAAACACTGATGTCTTTGTATCACTAACACAATAGTAAAACTCATTGATTCAAAAGACAATGTTACTACAAAATTACATAAGATTAAATAACTAACATTAAACTAAGGACTAGTATAACTATCGTGTAAAAAAAAAATCAACGTAAGCGACATAAAATTCAGAATTGCGATTTTTATATAAGTGTCATTTTTGTAAGATAAGCTTCTAATTGGAAATTTTTTTTAAAAAAAATTGAATTTCGTTTCATCACTTTTTGGAAATTATATTTTAGCGTTCAGAGAATTAAAAAGAAAGAAGTCGTCAAGACATTTTTCTCGAAATCTACTGTGAAGCTCTTATATTGTTTTTGCATTTGCAAGGCAGATTACATATCATTCATTTTTTCGAGCAGTATAATATCTGATTTAAATAAGACCATATTCCATATTTAAAATTAAACCTCTTTAAAATAAAATAACACCGGTAAAGATTATGCAAAAAATATTATACATTGATTCACAATTTTTCAATCGTTCTTAAATTTATAATATAATAATTATTAAATGTGAAAGATACGAAATTTGTTTGTATTTATTTTTATAATTGCAATATAGTGAACGAGCATTCAGAGTTTTAAATAAAGAAACATTTTGGGCTTTGGGTATTTTTGTTAGGTCACCATATATATTTTTTAAAACAGTTATCAAAATACTTAAATAGAATTATACAGTCAAAGCAGTTTTATACTTTTTTAAGATTGTTTTTGAATGTATTTTATCATAATACTCCTGATTCCAGAGTATCCCAGTCATGACCCGTTAAATTTAAAATTTAAATTTAATACAGTAATAGATTCAATTAAATTAGTGTTTTGCCTTTTCTTCAGAAAAAACTAAGTCTATTCGCACGAGAATTTGAAACTAGTTGCTAAGTTTCTCAACAGATGGCGCTATCATTAAAAACTCTAAAAAATATTTTTGAAATAATTGCCATTTGCAGCAACAACGTTGAGCTGCCGAGTTCAAAATTCTGAATAGTCTGACATGCAGCTGGAAGCATAGTTTTATAGATTTATCAGTCAGCTATACTGACTAACTTTGTAACTAAGTTTAAAATTTGGTGAGACTTAGTCGCATTTTTTTAAGCAGCATTACCTTGTCTGCGTTTAGTTTTTGTTTAATTGATTCTCCGAATCATCAGTCATTTTTTGCACTATCCAGTACTCTACTGTACACTTTCTAGTATCAAACTTTATAATACAAGGGTCGCCCGGAAAGTAAGGATCCCATGATCCATAAAAAAGAGCAAAATCTTATCCGGGAGAATTTATTGCAGAAGTTAACGCAATATTTCATTTACTTCTTATCATTAGAACCATCGGAATAGTAACACTGTGGGATAACCGTGGGATAAGTTTTTCTTATCCAGTATTATAGGAGTTAACTTCTTGGGAAAAGCGTATAGCTACTTGGATGCTTGCGAAAAAGTGATTGTAGGAATTTATTTCTGTAGTACAAGATCCGGCAGAAGTTGCAAGGAGCTTCTGAAATCTACCTCGGGTGCTTAATAATTCATACCATATTCCCGATCTTGCTTTCCCAGCGATTTCCATTTGTTCCAACTGGTGAAAAAATAATTGATCTATAGTTTCCTTTTCTATCAGATGTGCAGACGGATGTGACACACTGGATACATTTCCAGGCGTCAGCCCTCTTTTATATTGGACAGACTACAAAAAAATACGACATGGCAAGTGCTTCAATTCTAGTAGTTCTTATGGTGGGAAGCATCTGAAATGTTGCTTTTTTTTTCGCAAGAAATCTTTCCAGTTAATTATGTTTTATTTTTAAGGGTTCTGGGAAACTTACTTTCTGTGTGAACACTGTAGTTATCTACAGTTTTTAAAATAAAGAAATATTATTGATGAGAGTATTGTACATGTTGTGAGGAAAAAAAAACAAACTCCTTTTTGAATCTTCACAATTAATAAAATATGGTTATTAGAAGATTCTTTTTACGGATATAATGAAATGAAATTGCATAGAATCATGTTAAAACAGCATTGCTCATTATAATACAATTACCTTTTGGAGATCTATAGATGTTTTCCTCTGTGGATTCAGTATCTGTTGCGGATTGATCAATTATTTTGTATTCTTCATTTACATTTCTCAAATAATCATCAGCATCACTTCCAGCAAAGAAGTCATATACAGCTTGATGAGCAAAAACGTATTGTTCCTGTTAAAAATGGTACAATAATATTTTAACTACCGATCCCGGCTTACTCGGAGAAAAAATGCAGTTATGATTAAATGATTTACACAAAAAGTAAAGGCGAGTAATGGGCTGATTTAAGCAATTTATTTTTTATATGCATATAGTAATGAAAGTAAGCTAGTAATGAAAACAACCCATATGATAAATTCAATAATAGGAAAAGATAGTTTCTCATATTAATCAAAATACAACGAATCACTTTAGCCGAGAGCATTCAAGTTGTGCTGTACTACCGAAAAAAACGGAGAAGTATAAGGCTATTATTATAAAAACACCTCCAAGTGCCGTCGGGCAATCACAGTGGTTTTGAAACTGTTCACCCCACATTCTCCTCTATATAAAAACTGTGTTGTAGTATCTCTTCGAGTTTGGAGTTAAACAATCTAAAGGATTGTGTTAAAGAACACTTTATTTCAAGTTAAATCCTAATTAAGCATTCATATACGAGGTCAAATCTAAACACTAATATTGGAGAAATCACACACCAAACTTAGCGCATCCCACCATTTGTGAAATATTTTTGCTTATGAAAATACAAATTATGGGAAATTTAAGATATTGCTAGTTGATTGTTTACAATCGAGAACGTGAGATCATAAATTAGTTTTTCTCACCCATACTGTCAAACATCCCCAGAAACAATAGTTCGCTTTTAAAAATTTATGCATGTTTTTAGTTATGCAATAAGGATAATTAAATTTTAAATATCTTTCAATCATATTAAATACTTTTATAGCATATAATTTCTGTTCGCTGCATTTTTGTTAAGCTTAATTTGAATTTATCTTCGTATTCTGTAGGTGCTGTTTGTGTTATTTGTATATTTAATAAACAAATTAATTTTAATTTCAAAATTAGTGTAAAGATGCATCCTAAACTAATGATTCGTACTTTATATTGTATCATAAAAATAACTCTACTGACTCTTGTGTATCAAATTTTATTATAATTATAAATTTTAATGATGGTGAATTCTGGATAGGAGAATTCTGGTGATAGGAGAATTCTATAAATGGTGGCAGCTACTATACTCCAAGTAGTTAAAACTTTCCTTGTGTTTCACTACATTAGGAACTATCCTTGATTCTAGGGTAAGTGAAACATCAAAAAGAAAAAGCTATTTGTGGTGTTTCATTAGACTATGTTGGTGTAAAAAAGTTGTTATCATTTTTGGCGTGAAGATACTCTGAAATTTTTTTAAGTGTAAAAAATAGGTGTAGGGATTTTGTAGTTTCGATAGCTTCCTTTTTCTTCTTAACACAAATATCACTTTGAGATCCCTAATATGCGTACCTTTTAGATTTTAGCTTCGGCAGGTATTCAAAAAATATCTAATTATTATGGATGTGTAACAAATTTCATTGATTAAAGGAGGAATACCTTCTTTTCAACAACATCAACTCTTTGTACTCTCATATGATCCAGTTTTGCAGGAAAATCAACGATTCCTTCAGCTTCTGCTTTTTGCATCATGGAATCAGTCAAGATTACAGTTCCAGTTCTTCCTACTCCAGCACTTAAAAGATAAATGAAATAAGAGAAAAGAATTATTTTTTTACTAAAGATTGTGCAATTATTACTTATGACTTTTACTAATAATTAAGCAATTCCTACATATTGCTTTTACTAATAATTATGAAATTACTGCCAATTACTTTTACTAATAACTATGCAACTTAATTAATAATTAGTTTTAAGTGTGCGATTTTGATATAATTATACCAAAGTTGGGTTTATTGACGTCAAAAAATGGCTAAAACCGTCAAACGCTGGTTGAAACCGTCAAAAAATCTAGTATTGTAATCGTAATGCCATAATACAAGTTATTTTTTTTTGTATATTTGAAACTTTGATTTAAAATATTGATATATTCTTATAAATTTAAATTTATGAATAAATATGTTCTATTATGTAAGTATTAATAAATAATTAACAATAATTAAAGTTGATATGTTTAAAGTAGAGTAGATAATAATTGAAGAAGTTTTGAGAAGAAACAAATTTTCATTTTATCTTCATATTTTCTTTTATTGCTAATTTTGTTCAGAAGCTTTTATTTTCTCTAAGAAGTTTTTGATTGCTTCGTTAAAACCTTTACGTAAGGCAATATTATTTTAGTTTTTTATTATTGGTATGGAAATACTTTGTTTCATTGTTATAATTGGCAATTTTTTTTCAACCTAAACGTTAAAACAGAATTGCATCAAATCCAAATTATAACTTTTTAATAATTCATAAATGGAACTAACAAAACATAAAAAAAGACTTAATAAAAGTTTAAAAATTTTGATAACATAAGTTTTAATAATGTACATAAATGTTATTAAAAATAACAGGAATCTGCATTTCCAGTAACTTAAATTTTAAACTTAAAGTTTCGTATTACCTTACGTATTACTTTTCGCATTTCTTTTTATAACAGGGAATGATGATTTAAATAACTAGTGAACTGTTTCTAACTATATATTTTCTTTTCCGATTATGAAACTTTCAGAAAACTTTTAAAAGTTCTTTTTCGATTATTAGAACGTCTTCTATTTATTCCATAACATAAAGGCTATATTCTTTTTTGTTGATGAATGATTTCGATACATGGGGTTTGAAGCGACTGTTCTATCTACGGTTTAAAACCGTCAAAAACACCACATGTCTGAATAATGCTAACACTTTTTATAAGAATAGTTACATCAAATCACATACATAGTGAATGGCTACTTTATACTATCTCCATGATAGTTAATACATAATAATATGATGTAATTTGATAGCAAATGAGCTAAGGTTCATTTTTAATCTGAAAAGCCTATCATTAATATTTCCTGCTTTACTGGTCTAAATTTCATAAAACTGACAAAAAAATGGGCCGAAGTTGGTTAACAATGTCTAAAATTGCTAAGGTTTTAAATTTGTTTTAGTCACTTTGCATTCAATTTGACTCCTTTGCCCTAGCGTGAACAGTAAATCAATGTAAATCAATCTTAAAAAGTACTTCATAAACTATGGTACGAAGTTACAATGTATAGCTTTGTATTTAATCTTTAGATGAGCTACCCAGGCAGTATGGTGGTATGAGTCTTCGGCTACCTCGACATGGAGCAGGTTTCCCAGTGCTAGAGACTGAATGTCTTTTTGGAATACACTTACTACGATCCTGTATTTGTGACTCGGATTCCACTCTAACGTCCTCGGCGGTTTCAGAGTAAGAAAATTTCACGAAAAGTTACCCGGTTCGAGAGTGGGTTGCGGAGATGAGAGGATTATTACCATTTGGTATGCTCTCTAAATTGTGGTTGGGTAGTGTGTACATATGCCTGTATTGTTTTCCCATCACCTTTAAGGATGAATCTCAGACTGTCGTAAATAGCCCATTAGTATTGCTTTAGTGCGTACCTGCAGTGTAGAACAATCGGAACTTTGCTGTCCGGTTTGTATTTCCGAGTTTGCTGAATAAGAGCGACAACTGACAGTCGATCCACGGGAACACTGAGATCCGGCCAGCCAGTGTAATGGAAGTGACGTATAATTCGAGTAGTGTTTTCACCTTCCTAAAAAGACATTATTTTATTATTATTTTTGTTATACATTTTTCAAAATAAAAAGTCTACTTATAAAAATGGATTCCAATAGTCAAAATCAATAGAATTCTTAAGCGCAAAAATATTTAATTATGCATTAAGAAATTTGCAGCAATCTTTAAAACAGCCCATAATTGTTTTCAAAAAAATAAATAATATAGACTTGATTGCATAATCGTTAAGGTTTCCTTCAAGATGCATTCCTTTGCGAAAATGAGGTTTTTCGAAAAAACGAATGATTTTCTTAAGGAAAAATTTATTCTTTATAATGTCCCTATGCCTAAAGAATGAAACAATTACTTAATTGTATATTAGTTTCAAAAGAAAGAAGAAGAAGAAAGAGGGAAACAAATTTACTAACTCTAAGTAAAATAAAAATACGTTGAGAATAGATCGACTTATTTAACATTAAAAAACTTCTTAAAATGAAGAAAGAGTGAGCTTTTTGTTGGCATGGTATCAGATTAATAAAATTAGAAGAAAAAATTTAGTTCTACCATTTATGTATGGAATAATATTAAAACCATTTTCCAAGAATGAGAAATGAAGTTCATATAAATAAAAAAACGTATTTTTATTAATAATTAATAAAGTAAAGTAAAGCTTATTTGTTTAAGCAATCTAAAAGCTTTTAAGCACATTTAAACTAATTAAAATATTTTTATTTTTATTTAAAATTTTAAAGTAAATAAAAACCCTTCATGTTACTGATATTTGTAGGACTTTGCAAACAGACAAAGTAAAACCATTTTACTGGTTTTTCTTTTTTCATAGAATATGATATATGAATATACTATAAGCTTGCACGCACATAACTAAAAGGCATAAAGCGGCAAAATTGATAAAACTAAATTAATTCCATTTTTTTATTATTGGTAACTTTATGATACTATATTAAGCAAAACACAATTTTAGAAGTTCAACTCATCAAAATAAAGATGAACTATATTCAGCAAAAATGCTACTACTTGCAACAAACTCATAATAGTCAAAATTTAACTCAATCAAGAACTCTTTTCTGGTATTTATCCATGTTGAGAATCGTAAAAGACTTGTTAGCACAATACATACATTATATAACTTGATGCCAATATTAAATACCTTTATTAATATATTTAATATTTATTGAATTAGCACCTATTAGCACAATAACAGTGGTACCTCAATAATAATATGGCGATTTCCTACAGTCCCCCGAAGCGATCTTCTACCCATTAATTTTTCTTGTTGGTATATGGCTAACTTTTAGTTCAACTTCTGTTCATTTTTAATAGTTGATTTTTATATAGAAATATGTTTCAAAAGCGTAACTTTAAATAAAATAAAGACGTAGTCTCAGATAACTTAAGAAATACAAATTCAGTGACGTAATCCGTTACTACGTTCACGGTGACCATTTTACATGACACAATAAACTGTGAAAGAGATTAATAGGGATAATTTTTAATTATAATCAATAGTCAAATACCTTTTCTACTGAAAATGTTCGTACAACATGATGTATTTTCCGAAATTCGTGTTGAGAAATCAAAGTCACTGTGATATTGCCGTACTTGTCAGTTTCTTCCGGCCAATATTTTTCAACTTTTCTCTAGAAAAATGAAATAAACGCATTTAAATAGTTTTAGAAATGACTGCTATAACCAAAACTTAGTTTCATTGTTTTACAGCGTGGTTGTAATTAAAGTTATTTTTAGACACAAATAGAATTTGTTTGGGTTGACACATGCTGGAAGAAACTTGGTACATATCTTATATGAACCATAGGAAAATGAAATTGCCGATATATTATTTAGTTCAAATTTCAACCAACCGATGGTGCTTTTCAAATGCGACTATGTAGTTCGGTTCAGTTTTCGGAAGTAAATGCCGAAACTATCATTCTCCATCATGCCATTGCAGAGAAAAGAATAGGTGTTTATGGTTACGGTGTTTTGTCAGAATGATAGTAATATGCCATTTGCATGGTGAGAAAACCGATGTCATGTTGCCGCGATAGATCGAAAGCCCCTAAGCGCTACAGACAAATATACTGTTACATGTGCTTTTATTTTTTTATAACTAGCTTCTGACTACCTAGACATTTTTTGGTTTGCGGGCAATTAATGTTAAACTGCGTATACACGTAATTTCGAACCCGATCCAGAAGACAAGAGAACTTCTAGATTAAGCATTGGCGCAAACTAGTCTGTAGAGGACTTTTTGATGCATCTAACGCACTTGACATGGTTAGTCCGACGGCAAGGGGATTCTAACCCAAGATCCGTCTTCCCCTGACGATATTTTATGTCGGCACTGTGGTCATTGCGAGCCAGGGGCAAAATCTGTGTCAACCAGTCATCGCTTGGATTTGAACCTGGGTCCTCCCCTTCGGGAGACGAGAGCTTTATTCCCTTTCTAAGTCACTATGGCTCTGAACATGTGTGAGAGAAAAATGAAAATGTCCATTGAGCTTATGATACGATTCAAAAAAGTTTTGCATTCTCAAATTCTGTTCTGTTTCTTAAGTGCGCCATTTTTTTTCTTCGCCAAGTGGTAGAAAACTATATCTTTTATTATACCACTTGTTTGTACAGAATCACACAGTTTTTCAGATTTTTCGCTATTTCTGTACAGTGTTCTCACATTTAAATAATTTTTGTCCTGTTTTAAATGTGATTTTTAAAAACTTTTTAAATTGCATAGTTTTATAGTGTAGTTACGTCTATCAACGCAATAAAATCTAAAATGTCGAGTGTTGAAGTATGAAAAATGCTGATTGCGGTGGTTTGCTTAATTTTTAGAGCAAACATGAAAAAAGTCGATGATATTGAATTTATTATGAACGCAAATTAAACTCGACATCCAAAATAATATATATATAATATTTAAAAAAAAATGGATTGAAAGTTTTTTTGCAAGACAAGAAATAAATACCTCTCCATGCTCGACGAGATTCGTTAACATTACAATTTTTGTAGAATTCAATTGCCATATCATTCTCCAAAAATCATTAATGGTATTAGGTAAGGGACCTATAAATGAAAAAAATTTAATTCAATTCATCATTTATTATATTCTTAAAAATTTTTTTACCACGTAAAGCACTTTTTTAAAAAATACATATTCCTAATTTTAACAAAACAGTGTTTTTATAATAAATAAAATTGTTTTATAATATGAACAATCCTATAATTAAGTTCACACACTGATCAATGAATAAGAAACCAGTGATATTTTCTATTAATTGTTAGCTAGGGGCGAAGTGGGCAAAACCTGTTTGTGATGTAAGGGAAACCTCATCAGATAGTTTGTATAAGAAAACTGTTTTTTATTTTATAACTGTCTTTGAATAGCCGACACAATTTTTGGGTTTACAACTACTAATGTTCAACTCCATAGCCTTGTAATTTTGAACCCAATCCAGAAGACAAGGGAACTTCTGGATAAAGCATTGGGAGAAATTTGCTTTCGTCGAGGACTTTTGATGGAACTTACCCACATCTGCGTTACATGAAGAGGAAGACCACGAGAACCTCCCACGGTAAGTCTGAAGGCAGAGGGACTCTAACCTATGATTCGCTTACGACTGAGAATATTTCATGTCAGAATGTGGTCGGTGCAAGCCTGATGCAGATTCGTATCGGGGATTCGAACCCGGTTCATCTGATTGGAAGACGAACGCTTTAGCCTCTGAGACATCGCGTGTTTGAACGCATTTCACGATAAACCTAGTTGAAAGAAGAAAAAAAACACCAGCTTATTTGCCATTCTAAAAAGCTTTTACTGTTTACTGCCGTTAAGCAAGAGCCACAGTTGTGAAGACAGCTGAACTCAGGGGTCTTAAAAGCAGCCACGTCTATGGTTTTCAAAAGTTGGAAACAGAACCTACAATCGTTGTTTACAAGACGTAGCTGTGGTTCGATGAAAAAAATTAACTAAAGCTGTGATTGGCATCATCTCTGACGAGTTCTGCTGCAAAAGACTGACTCAACTGACAAAAACCTTTGACACAGATTCTTCCCAAGGCATTTTGATTCGAACAAAGACCGGAGAATTGTGGAGGGTTTGAATACGTAACTGGATGCCCGTGAGGAGACTTCTTACTTCTGCCAGAAATGCCAGAATTCACTTGGAAAGACAACACTGAATATTTGATGACCGGAAACGGCTTATGTAGACAGATGAAGCACTCTTCCTCTTGTTTTGTATTAAAAAAACGTAGAATTGGGCAAGAGCTCCAAGAAGCTATGAATCTATCTTACCTTTTTTGTAATGTGTAAGGATCTGGTGAGTCTCATAATGAGGGATATGTTCGGTTGGCAAGAAGGTGATGCCTTGATTTTCCTTGAGGATAAACAAAAAAATTCGTGCAGTACCAGGACAGTGTCAGATAAAGTGCATCCTGCTTGTTGCATTTTTACTCTGAAGATGTGGTATACATCATGAACGATAATACGACTATACATAGTGCTAAACGCGTTTGAATTTGGTTCAGTAAGCATTAATATGCTTTGCAACACCTTCCCAGTCCCCCGAAAAGTCTGGATCATGAAATCTTAACCCAATAGGAAATGTATTTATGTGTTGAAAAGGCATAGCTGGCAGCTATCTTTTCTTCCCTCTAACTTACAGGATCTTTAAAGAGGTGCAGCGAAACAATTATCTAATATTTTATGATCCTTCTCTTTTTAAATAAAAAATAAAAGAAATATTTTTTTACAATTTTACTNGCAGCGGCCCATAAGACAACGAGTGTTTAGCACAGTTCTTAGATCGGTTACTGCTGCTACAAGGCCAGGTTATACAGATTTAAGTGAGTTTGAACGCGGTGTTTTAGTCAGCGCATGGGAGATGGGACATAGCATCTCCGAGATAGCAATGAAATTTGGATTTTCACGTGCAACCATTTCACGAGTATACCGTGAGTATCGGAAATCCGGTAAAACATCATTATTGAACATATTTGGGATGCCTTGCAACGTGATGTTCAGAAGAAATCCCCACCCCCTCTTACTCCCACTGGTTTATAGACAGCCCTGCAGGATTCATGGTGTCAATTATCTCCAGCACTACTTCACACATTGATCGAATCCATGTCACGTCGTGTTGCGGCACTTCTGCATGCTCGCGGGGGCCCTACATGATATTAGGCAGGTATACCAGTTTTTTTTTGGCTCTTCAGTGTAGTTTTGACCACTAATTTTGTTACTTCCTCAGTAGTACATGTCTACGAAAACATATTGTGATGTATCCAACAAAGGAAAGGGTAATAGTTTGTGCTATATAGATCAAAGCAGAAAACAACGTGAATAAAGCCCAAATGAAACTACATAATTTTCATTTGTGCTTAATACACATTGTTTTTTGCTTTAATCATATTGTGATCTAATTTAACTACTAACTCTGTATTTAAATGTTTTAATTATCTGTCTAAGTGTACAATCTTAATTATCTGTCTCGTTAAAGCTTAAGGCTCACAGATAAATACCCTCTTGGCATATTCGCTGGGTTAAGTATCGGTGCGTATGTGCTAAACATTATGGCCTTTGTTTGTTCAAGAAAAAAATACTTCATTCAGATGAAAATATCTTTGATGTAGCGAAGAATTTATTTAACACCTGGAAAAATACTTACAAGCAAGAAGATCGTTGTAACGATTTTTCTCGATATTTCCTGGTAATTCAGCTATTGTCCAAGGTCTTCTTTTTCCTGCTGCGATTCCCTAAGTGAAAAAGAAGAGCATTTCAAATTGAAATTCGAAATTTTTGGGAGGTTTACTTGGGCATATTAAAAAGCAATTCTGTTTGAAATGTATTCTACTCCAGCAACAACGAGGGTTATTAGTACTCCAATGGTAGACAAATCAAGGACTAGGACCACATTGTTATTGCACTGAGTTGTTTTCTTTTAAATGCAATGCAATATTAGCACTGATATTGAAAAAGAGGTATAGAAAAGAGATTTATACTCGAAACCTGACTTAAGGTTTCTTTTGTCTTTTGGCTTTGGTTCATATTTATAAAAACACTGCTGGTTATAATTATTTTATTTAATAACCATCGTTGAACAACCGACCCACGCTTTGGGTTTACGACTACTTATGTTCAACTCCGTAACCTTGAAATTCTGAACCCAATCCACAAGACAAGGGAACTCCTGGATCATGCATTGGGAGAAATTTGCCTTCGTGGAGGACTTTTGATGGAACTAACCAGCATTTACGTTACATGAAGAGGAAGACCACGAGAAGCTGCCACAGTTATCCTGATGGCAAAATGATAGTTATGTTTATTGGAAATATTTTCTGCATAAACTTTCCCCTTATCCCACCCAGTGGATAAATTTTATAACGCAATGATTCTCATTACTTCCGTTGTTAGTGCCACAGTTTTTAAGTTAAGATGAATGCGATCCACTTAAGCTAATTTTAATACATCATATAAATATTTTTCAGATTAAAAAATAATAAAACATTTCTACAATTCTATTGTATTCATATTTCTATTGAAATGTTTTTTGAAATTCAGTATAGATATGTTTCTTTTTTATTACTCCGAATTATTTAAATTTTAAAGGGGATATTTCACGTAAATGATTACAATAAAACAAATAATTCGCAGTAATAGGCTGAGATGGCTGGGCCATCTATGGAAAAGCCCTGAAAATAGCGCCATGAGAATAGTCACCTTTAAGAACCCCGTGGGGTCACGTCACAGAGGCAGACCCCCTACTAGATGGTTCAACGACATCGAAAATGATTTGAAAACCCTAAAGAATAGAAATTGGAAGGGAGTTGCCATGGATAGGTGGCGCTGGCGTTTGTCAGCTGTTGAGGCAGCCAAGGCCTGCAAGGGGCTGTTGCGCTGACAAAGAAGAAGATTCCAATAAAATGTAATGTTTCTTTCCTATAATTTTTTTTTTAAAATTTCTGATTAATTTTGACATTTTTAGAAAAATTGGATTATCTTTAAACTATAATATCGGTATATCGAATAATAATACGGTGTAACAACGGTAATTAATAACAACGGTACGGTAATTCTTATAAGGTGTAACACGTTTGAAGCATTATTTTGTATATTTACAAGAGTAGTACAAAATATGATTCCACTTGAATGATTCAAATTAAGATTGCAGTAAATTTGAACCATATTACGGTTCAAAAGTTCAGCAAGTTCCGAAATGTCTAACTTTATAGGTAAGGAACAAATATATATTAAAAATAATAATCATAATAGCTAAATTTTTGAAGAATTAATGAGCTTGTTTTTCATTTTCCGTATTCCTCTCATTCATTCATCAATGAATATTCATTTTTACATTCTGTTTTATCAAGGTTTTATTCGTTAAGTTGTTTAAAGCTGCATTCTTTAACAATGCATATAAGGAGACTTGCTCATTAATAGGAAAAAAATATTTTGTTTCACTAAAAACATTTGGCAATAATTATTTTGCATTGTTACTTTTATAATGTGCATTATTCTTTACAAATTGTTTGAATTAAATATTAGTCAAATTTCCATTCATTCTAAACATAAAACACATGTTCGTTTGTTTAAAAAATTCGTCATGCATTTTAGCAACACCTGACTAGAAATGTAACAAAGGAGGCAAATGTTACAAATTTATGTAATCGAAGCAATAATATCGGAGTATTGTACTATACATTCTTTCACGTTAATGGCTTTTTATTAGTAGATATTTGGGAAAAGATTTAACGATACATGTCGCTGAGTATTCTAAATAATTTGAAACATAAAATTTGAAACTTCTTTCAAAAAGAATTTATTAAAAAAATGCAATTTAAAATGGTTCGTTATTTTAGAATTTGCTTAATTAACCTTTAAGAAATAATTTTGTAATATTTTCTAAAAACATTTGCGCAATGTATGGGGTTAATTTTCTATCAAAAATAAAATAACTATATGTTGAATACTCTATGAAAGTTGCGAAACTTGCTAAATTATTTTTAATCAGCAATGTAGTAATTAATGATTAAATATTTAAATTTCTTTATTGCAGCATTTGTTTGATCTTTTT